TCTTGAACGAGCTCTTACTTCTCTTCCTAACCATCTAAATAAATATTTGTCGATCCCACAAGCGCCTCATCTGACTTGTTGGACGATGGGTCCTACGACGGGGACCCGCTACCAAAATGAGACCTGCTGGTCCCAAAGTCGCAACAGCATGTAGCTTCACCAAGACAAAGCGGCCGTATGGCTGATGAAAATGAGACATGTGTGCGCTTCAGTACTTGCGCAGAACCATCACACTTGGAAATCATTTGAAGTGTTCGTTTGGAACGTAAAGAAGAACGTAGAAGTTGTGATGGCGGAGCCAGGTTTCCAAAACGTTGTTCCATACGTGAAGCCCGAGTTTTCATGACAAAACCGTCTCGGGGGTACGCTGGTGCTACAACTCGTAATAAACATGTCGAAAATTCGTCACTCTTAGAAGCGATAGCTTCTGTGGATACTTGCGGATACTTGCACTGTGGATACTTGTCGACACTTGCACTGTGGATGCAAAACTGAAGTATAGTACGTTAAATTGAATTTCACAATGTTTTTGTCGATAAAATTACGGGAGGCGTAATCTTTGCCCCTACTTTGAACCATAAGATCTAAAGCATTGCCTTCGAGATGCGGCGCACAGCAATTCAACTGTAGAGCAGACGACGAATGACGACTTGCCCTAAAGCGTGTTCTTCAGTCTAATGCGGCAGTCTTCGTGCCCCAAATGATAAAAATTTGTTATGAATTGTTTATGAACTCATTCAGCATTTCATTCTCTTACCCAACGTGTTGCAAACACATGGCAGTCACAGCAGCTCCATCTGTGTGCCAGTAATGGAGAGGCACCACATATTAGAAGTCTCAGTGCTCTACGTATGAGAGTGAATTCAGATACTGTAGAATACTGTGTTCAAAATAGTTACTCCTATCTGCTAAAACAGCCTTTTTTCACCAAAAACGGTCACGTTTACTCGCGTTTGAAGCTTATTGCCGCTTTTCTGTTCTGATTTCTAGATTTCCAATTTATCAGCGCATTCTCGAAAAGCTGTGATTTGTACCATGAATATTGTCGCTAAAAACAAAATAATGCAACATGTTTTTCTATATTACTGTATGATGGTCTTCGGTTGTCTATTTACGAGACTTTAGAAAAAATCGAAATGGGGTTTTTTATTATTCAAATTTCAGTAGAACACACTTTTGCCAGTATGAGAATTTGAGGCAATATATAAAAACATTCATTTGCCCTACGGCTGCAATAATTTATGTACCTAATCAACACACTATATCCTTAAAACGTGTCAAGTTTGAAAACGCTGCTTGCATTACTTTCGGAGAAAAAAAAAGGGGGGGAATACGTAACTTATTTTAAACTGTCGCAAAATTAGACATTTTTAAAAGCTATTTTTAAGGTCTACAAACTTGAAACCGTATGAATTCATTTTTCATTAGACATACATTTCAGGTGAAAAATATCTTCCTTGAAACAAAAATATTCGTCTTTCTATAGCATCTGCAACTTTTCGAAAATGACAGGTGACGAAATTGGTGCCTCCGTGTCTGGTGAAGTTTGATATGTTTTCTCTCGTAAGTTATGCCGTTAATCATAAAACGAAGTTGACTTTCGGGCTACCTGGTGAGAGGTGCACGAAATATAAAATACTCAATAACATCTAAACTATCAACTTTTGTACCCGTGTCGACCTCTCGTGGAATCACCCAGTATTGACTGCGGCGTGTAGTGTGCGTTGAAAGGCATCGACAATATTAGTTCACCTTTACGGACGGTGAAACTGGGAATATTGTGCGTGGTGTGTGCAGTGTGAATAACGTGATGCGTCCTGTGCGAAAACGCTGGTACTCGTTGTGGGCCGGTTGCAGTAACCGGTTGTCGACGGAACTTTACGATCTGACATTTTACTGAAGGTAAAAATGCATTTCACGCGATCATCTGCGAGTGGGTACATCTCGTATGCGGCATTTATTTATAGTGTTGCCGAATCTGCATATACGCGTCACCACGGCTATAACTCGTATTATCAGATAGCTGATACGTGTTAATGAAAACAGTGGAGATTTTCGTTTCTTATCTACTTTGTACTTTTACGGCTCGATACTTATGAAGTGACAATGCGCATTATAAATTTGTGTATCAGGCCTAAAGGAGCAATATTGGTACGAAAACACGTTATAGGTGTAACTGCAGCAAAGTAACTGTGCCATATAATATCATATATAATTTACTTGTCAGGTTTCATCACATGAATTTTGACTGGGTTATTGAGAAACGCTGCGGCAGAATGTCACTTTAATATTCACGAGGATCTGTTAACGTCCGCCTAACACACAGCAAGAAGTGTTTCTTTTTTTTTCATTGATCCCTGATCAGACTTTTTCGCATTGAATGAGAATCTTATTCGTGACGTCGCGCACAGCAGCTCATAACCTCGCTGCCGCCAATGCTGTGCCTCGTTTTAAACTGCATTGCATGCCACGATGGAAATTGAATAAGCTACATCCATGTTATGCAAATATTTCTCAAAGTGCATTCACTGTGTGCTTTCAAAAACGTTCGCTTTCGAAAAAAAATAAGATTTTTTATGGGTGTCATGTACGTGGGTGAAGCCCACTGCGTGCTATAGTTCCGTCTCTCAGTACTTTAAATTAAAGTTTTTCTATCCATCCACCTACAATGAGCCAATTTCCACACTGTATGAGCAGTGACCCTTCGGCTACCACCTTCTTTCAAAAGTTGTGATATTAGAACATAGCAATGCAGAAGTTTCTGTCGAAAGAATGCTGACACGCAGCTGTGCTATGCAGAAAGATGCCGCCGGCGGAACTTTCTTGCCAACCAGCACCTGCTCTGAGGGAGGGTGTGGTGGGTGGGGTACACACAGTGACGTCACACTGTTTACAAACAGGGAGAGGTCTATTTGTTTCTCCGTCCCTTCAAGTTGACTCACGTGAGAGTTCACTCTATTTCCTCGTCAGAACACAAATAGTTGGCTCGATGTAACAGCCATCATGAAGATAATAACTAAGATGATGGCCTCTTCGAACAGACATCTAAAGTCAGTGCGATAATAAACGCAGTGATTGCGCGATTAAAAATGACACCATTTCCCGCTAAAGGAAATCATGTGTAGATGCAAAACAGCGGACGGTAATGCTTACACTGGCGACGCTGTTGACGCTGGCACTCATTGCGGAGTTGAGCAGGAGAGAGACCTGGGGAGGCACAAAGCGCGCAGTGATGGACCGGTGTTTCCTACTGGAACATGCCAATCGTTTGTAATGGTCATTAAGAGACACAAGACGCCAATTGGACACATAGACACGCAGTCTGCTTTTAGTTAACGCGCTCACTGCGAATTTTTATTGTTCAATAAAGCACAGGAGAACTATTCCACTGGTACTACCTTGGAGGTCGAAATACAGTGCCTATATATATGGGGTGGCCAGTGAACGGTTGTGTAGCATGAGCAGCCACCCTTTTCAATCGAGAAACTTGGTAACAGACGCTGTCGACGCCGGTGTTTTGAGGTGAGAGAGTGGGGAGTTTAGAAGAGAAAGAGGTGAGGTTGCGAAGGCACACTGGATGTGTAAATGCACCGGGGAGGGATGTCTAGAAGAGAGAGAAGGGGGAGCGAGTGTAGACCATGGGACGCTGCCCGCATTGGCGTTGTGAGGGGAGAGAAAGGGAGCGTAGGGGAGGAGAGAGAGGGTAGGAGATGGGTAATAAGGGCAGTCACGCCACAGGTACACTGGATTGAATTGAACCATAAAATCTTCGCATCTGAAATTCGCTGCTGTTGAATGCATTGCATTAGGGTTTCGCAGTCACCAGAGCACAGGTAACCTACATTGTGATATTAGTGCACGTGCATCGTTAAATTTTAACGCCACTTGTATTTTAACAGCCACCTATGAACTGCGGAATCGAAAGCAGACATTCAAAATATTAAAAAATATTGCTCCTGGTCACCTAAATAAGAACAAAGCTCTTCTGTCGAAGTGTTCCGATTTCACAGACGAATGTTAAAATCACAAGGTCGGAGCCTATTTGTAAGCTCACGTCTTGTCACTGTTGCTCAAAGAAAATACAAAAATTCAAACCTGGACCTCAAAGCAACTTCTTTCAGCACGTGGCTGCTGCTCAATCAACAAATACATTTCTAAGAAAAGATTTGGTGAAATCTGATCTTCGGTTTGCTTGGTCACGGCTGGTAACAAGGGAATTTGGTCTTGCGAAGCACTCGTGGAGGTTTTTATGCCCACTGTAACGGATAACACTGGAAAGATGGTGCTGGCAAGTGGTTTCTTGTACTGAGTGACGTGAGAAAGAGCACAAAGGCACGTGTTCTTCCGAGAGACACGCTTATGCGTCCTGCTCTCGGTGCACCGCTTCCCTCTAGCGCAAAGAACGGGAACGGAGAAATGTTTTTTTCGTCGCCTTTGCTTCTTAGGTAAATGGCCTATAAGGAGAAAAAGTTCGGACTTATTGGCGAATGCGGCGAGCCGCAGCTTAACATGACCCACGTGTACTACCATAGCATAAATATGAACTTTCAGCGCCATCGAAATGGGACTGTGGAGCGTGCTTTATACCACTCCGTACACTTCGAATGCCAAGAGGCTGGTGTGTCAAGCTTTTTTTCGTCAAGACAGAACAACAGAAGGCGCGGGAGCGAGATTAAATACAGTAGTGTTAAAAAGCATAAAAGAAGTGGTATGTTACCGGTATGTTGGCTTACACTGAGAAATATTGGTGGCCAATGGCAAAAATAACTTGCCAAAATTGCATTGTATGTTTGCCTTCCAGCTTCCAATAAATTTATGTAAATTTGACATTTAAATGGGCCAGTTATAGAATTGTGGCTGCTGTAGAGGAGCATTAATTATCACGACTCGTGTCGCAAGTAACAGATTCATGATTTGGCTAACCTCGCTAATTATAAATTAGTTTCTTTTGCGTGGGTTCTAGTAAACATTTTATTGCTTTTTTGTTCACTCTTGTGCAGGGCCACTGAAGCCTCCAATTATCCGGGACGCTAAAGGAAGAACTAAGAAGGATATAGTCGGACCTTACTACGAAGGCGATGAGCTACGACTCACTTGTGAGACACCAGGAGGTGAGTGTGAAAATCAAATAATGAATTTCGCGAATAGACGCGCAATTTACTAGTAGCGTGGTGTGGTACTCTGACCCGCACATGGAAAAACTCCAAGTTTCAATGCACGTAGTAAGCATCCTTGTTCTTTGGCTGCCATGGCCCCATTTTGATGGAGGTGAAACGCAGTGAAATCCGTCGGAAGCAGTGTAGCTGAATACACATATGCCAGTGCCCCACCAAATATGGCTCTAATTGATGTCATATATGGTGCAACCGTCTCATATATGGCATATTTGATGACATATATGGACACTGCGCCAAATGGGGCCCTATATAGACCCGCATGACAAACGGTAAACATGTACGCTGATATAGGTACTCACATATGGCCGCATATAATATATTGCCACGGGGTTGTGACGTCGACGAAGGGGAGCAGACAGTACTATAAAAAATAATCTATTTATTCGGCTGAACCTGTGACCACCTAAAAGGAAAGTAAGATTACAGCGAGACACTGGCACTGATAGCGGCGAACAGAGTGTTGGCCGTTGATCAACTGACAAGCGGCGAAGCGTGTCGGCATTTATACTCTTGCCATCGAATATTCAAGCGTTATCGCTAGCGGTGACGTAGGTTCCAGAAAAATCTGTAATGTTCACGAGATGGGCATAATCTTAACAAAACGATCTACTACAGCCTCGAAGCTTCTAAAACATCGTAGGCGCGGTTTGCGCTGAACATAGTGTAACGGGGCGATAACAAAGCTTGAGAAACGAACGTGGCAATATTTTAAGGGCCATATATGACATTCACGTGATGGTTCCCCGCAATCTTCCACAACTGCCATTGTCTAGGGACGGTCTTATAGTTGCCTGTCACATTCGTACTGCTTCTGACGATGAGCAGCATAATGTTAAAATGTTTCAACATTTTAACAAGTGGTGGGACAAGAGAAACATGAAAATGAATTAAAGTTGGCCTGTACTTACGGTAGTAAAAGGATGATAAATAATACTTTTATATAGTACTGACAATCACACTTTGATGTGAACGTACAGATATTTTATCGCTATGTGTTCGTTGTTCACTTGCGACAACACACGCAACATATCTTGATTGATTAGGTGGGGTTTAACGTCCCAAAACTACCATATGATTATGAGAGACGCCACGCACCATATCTTGAAGGATCATGTAAACAATGCATTCAGACCTTCTCATCGTAACTTTCACCTTTTTAGAAAGAAAGTGCAGTGTGCAGCAGCGGGAAATAAAGCGGAATGTACACAAAATACCCATCAGATTGGTATAGCAAATATGCATCGGTGGCATGAAGTTATTGAGTGAAAGTCACTTAATGGGACAACAAAGAACACAAAATTATTAGCCGCGCGTTTTATACTTTCTAGGCATTGCAGGGCACACTTCTGGACATATAAGTTAAACCTACGTTGTTTACAGTCATTAGAAATACGGAAGCAAAGATGTGAATTACGAACACTGTTATAAATAGTATAAAAGTCAAATTAAATTTATAAACGAGAATATAATCGCGCCACAAAAAAAGAGGAAGTGCACGAATGAATTGTTTTTTTCTTTCCTAGTTTTACAATGCTCGTGGCAAAACACGTGGTTTTTTTGTTAACGCATTTTAACTACAAAGGCCTTTGCAACAGGTGTGGTAGGTTCTGATAGTTACTGCTTTTGAACTTAGTTAGGGCGTGTTGTCATGAAGGAAAAGCTCTTTTTTTTGCTGTGATAACTTTTCTTTTACTTTTTTGCCGTTTTCTTTAGTCTTCCCTGTAATAAGCTTGTCTTCAGCAGTTGAAAATTGGTTAAATACCAGCGAATGCCCAAGATGAGCACAGTGAAAAGTCGCTGCTTGCCATTTGAATTGTCCTTATGGCGCTATTTGCAGCGACTGCTTCACAATGCGTTTCGACATAGCCAGCGAGGCACAAGTGTAACATACTCGGTCGGAAGGGAAGCTGAAAACGCGACTCTTCTTCACTAATTCCGCTGCGAGACATCCTCAATAATAATGCTGAGCCATCGGTCTGCTTGAGCTTGCAGGAAATGGTTTTGCACAAAATGCACTTCGTGTTGCATTCGTATACATGGTGTTGAGCTTGCCCTCGAGCCCAGCATAGTAGGGGGACCGGCATGACATCAACTTAAGGTAATTCTAGAAGAAATTCATTGTAACTCTTCCGAATACTTGCCGTGAGGTATTTTCTCAGAACTATCGTGGCAACCTTTGAACTTGTTCCAGTCGGTTACTTGCCCCTTGCGGCAACCTTGCGCCTCTGCACTACTAGAATACCGCCTTGGCCGCTTTCATGTTTTGTATAAAGACGTTGCCTGTGAGTGCGAGACCCCATCAATGTGTATGTAGCCGTCGAGTGTTGAGGATGGACACTGAGCACTCAATATTGACAAAAAAAACTCTGGTCAGACGTGTCGCTAGGTAATAATAACAGCACGCGCTAGCTCTCAGCGATGTTATATATACTTAAACACTGTCCGCAGCTCGCCGCTCCTCTCTCAATATGTAACGAGAGTAACCCTAAGTGAATAGGAACTGTTCCGTTAGACGGCAGAAACTCTGCTTGTAATAAATGTATGGAGGGATAACTCGAAGGTTGTGCAGTAGTTTTCTCAAGTGGCGGGAAAATATAAAAGCAGGGGCCAGTAACGCATGATTGTGAGTGCATAATGTGGAAGACTCGCGTTAGTTTGACCCCGTGGTCAACGAAATGTGTGTCTTTAATCTGCTAGGAATGTGCCGCCAGAGAGACAGAGTAAGCGTTGAGAGACGTTGTCGCTCACTGTGGGTTTTTATATTGTTCGCAGGCTGCAGCAATCTTCGTATGCATCATTTATTTATTTGTCTGCGTTTCATATATACGTGCCTGCAGTTGGTACCACTACTCTTACCTGGTATAGGTCGATGCTAACACAGCTCGGGAAACTACGACAAAATCAGGAGGAGGAAATATATAGCCCAATGCAGTTATCGCACTTTCGTGTTTCAGTGGAGTCTTTGTTCTCTGCATGTTCAGTGGAGACTTACGCGGGCTCACCACAGCAATCCGCCCCTATAAACTGGCTGGCTGCTGCAACAAGATTCTCTGCTGCCATTCTCGCGGACCGTATGTACACGCAGTTCGCCATCAGTGACTAGATTATCAATCGTAAAAGTGCGCAACACAAAGGGCATCGCAAAGGACTTCATCTCATGCCGCCTACAGCCTTCACTCGTATACAGTTTCGCTGGCAAGCTGCGGACGGCGGCAAAAGCAATCATTGCTACGTCGCTTGATTTTCCTCTTAAACAGAGTTCTAACTCGTCTTTTTTTTCTCACCAACTGTTTAGACGTCGTTATTAGCTCTGGAAGCTTCCAAAAGTTGTGCTTGATAAGAAAAAAATGATGGGTTCATTATGTTACACATAATTGTAGTTACCAGAATAGGGTACGTTAACAATGCTCGTAATTCTCAGGTCAAATATTTCTTCAAGATCGATTAGCCATTATTTCTGCACAACATTTACTTGATGAGTTTACTTTGAAGGAGACACAACTGACCACCTTTACTGCTTTGTTATCTACACAGAGCGAAATATGTTATAGGTGTAGTCAACGTTTCACGTGAGTTCAAGACTATCAAAATAAGGATTTGTTTCAGGAAATGGATGCAGTGTTAGTCTGAATATTGCGCCTCAGTTTTCAAAAGTGGTAATCTACCAAGCCTCAAGCTGTAAAAAAATTCGTAATATTCGCGCTTCATAGCTTGTTTTTTACGAAATCGCAGGCGGTGAGCCGATTAATAAGCTGGCAGGTTGGCCCATTCATAGAGAAAAATGGGGGCGAAATGGTGAAGAAAATAAATGACGGGAGAAAGGAAGACAGCGGGCTCGGCGTGTAGCGCTCGAAGAGTTATGGGCAGTGTGCGCCGTGTCTTACACAAAAAGCGTTCAAGTCCCGTGCTCTTTCTCTTTCCTCTTTCGGGATCTGGCAAAAGGAAAAGCAAATACGCCGGCGCGCTTTTTCTATACCATGTAGCGAGAAAATAAAGAGGTTGTCTAACTGTTTTCAAAGCATCAAATAAAAACTGCGAGCGGTGGAACACATTTACTCTCGAATAAAAGAAAGGGACCGAAACCCTTCTCTTTTCTTTTTCCGCGGAGTCTGCGAAATCTCGGGATCACGGCTCAGGGTTTGAACAAATTAAGCGACTGAAATGGTCGGAAAAATACGTCGGCCGGTCCAAGTCAGTGGTGGAAAAATAAAAAAAAAGGGCAGAGAAGAAACAAGTGGCGGCGGAGTCCCAATACGGAATTAAGCTGACCGAATGCGGCGCCGAAGCTCCAAGGAAAACAGAGGCCGGGATTTATGGCAGTAACGTCTCCCCCTTCGGCTTTCGCGTTTTGTCCCCCCCCCCCCCCCGGCTCTTCCTTTTTATTCTTGGAAGCCGATCGTGACCCGCCTACGTGTTGTTGTTCAATTATACGCTAGGCTATCGGGAATAGGGGGGAAGCACGTGGAAGAAAAATGAACGACTTGTGTTATAGCCGCGACAGCCTCTTAGCTTTCCGCTCCTGTTGTTATCTCTCTGCTTTGTGTCCGCCGGATGCCCTTTGGTGCGCCTCTAATAGGCGGCCCGATTGTTCATGTACGCATTCATCGATCGAGCACATCAGCTCCCTTTCTCGCACCTCCCCCGGCGCTCTTTATCCCCGCTCTGCACGCTGCTCGTGGCCTCTGACTCGCCTGCAAAGCTTTGAAGAGCACTTCGGAAGCATTTAGCTCACTGGCTTCACCGGATTTAACGAACAGACAGCCCTCCTTCACTTTTTTTTTCTCGCGCCTTGCTACGGACGCGAACGTCGCTGCTAATCTACATGCACCGCCGCTGTCTTAGAAGCCCCGTGCGCTCCCGTTCAATTCCTTAATCACCGCGCTGTCAATTCAAGCAGACAGCTCTCTACTGACTCTATCTTCATTTCTCAACGAGCACAAAGTAATCGTGAAGATATGCGCGACACAAAGAACAAGACCTCGCGGCTTAAGGTGCTTGTCCAATGTGTTCTTTTGTGCGCGTGTGTTTCCCCCTTCTTCGCGCAGCGAGCCCTTTTGTTTCGCTTGGCTGGCTCTTTAAAGGGCACTAGCTTATGGGGGCACATTACTCGCTCAATTCCTAGGCACGACAGACAAGGCGCGTTGTGGACATTACTCGCTCAATTCCCAGGCACGACAGACAAGGCGCGTTGTGGGCGTTCGCATTACTGACTCACTCTGCGCCTGACTGCTGTAGAATGTGACATGTACTACTTATACCAGGATAATTAAGCAATCTCTCATCGAATTATGTAACTAGGTTTTGCGGTGTATGTGTGTGGGTCTGACTCCAGCGTTCCCAGCATCAATAGCTTTTTTTAGGGGCGAAGCTCCTTAAGGCGTTGGTCGTGCGTCTCCTGTACATAGTAGCCCCCTCTAGTTTCAGTTCTTGGAATGTCCGCTGTATGGCGGTACTTGTACGTGATGAATATATGATGAAAACTAGTGTGATGGTGGTACTTGGAGTGTTGATTAGATGAACTGACGGACAGACATACGTACAGACGGACGTACAGACAGGCGACAGACGGATGGACAGACAGACGGACAGGCAAATGGACGGATGGATGGACATACATACAGACAGACAGATGAAGAACGAACACAGACAAACGGATAGACGGACGGAGGGACAGACCAAAAGACAGACAGACGGAGTCAGATGGACGTAAGCACGGGCGGACAGACGAGCGCAAGCATGGACAGACGGACGGACGTCTGGACAGACAGATGAACGGAAGCACGGACAGACGAACGGCAGCATCCACGGACGGATAGAGGCATGGATGAACGGATGGACGGATGCATGGACGGATAAATGCACGGACGGACAGACAGATGGATGCATGGACGGATGGAAGCATGGACGGATGTATGGACGGAAGCAAGGACAGACGGATGGAAGCATGGATGGACGGAAGCATGGATGAACAGACGGACGGAAGCATGGATGGATGGAAGTACAGATAGACAGACGGACGGAAGCATGGATGGACGGACGGACGGAAGCACTGATGGACGAACCAATGGAGGCACATACGGACGCTTCACTTCACTCATAATCATTCACTCCATAGATATGCTATAATTTTTTTCTGTCTATGTATACAAGCATTAAACAACTTTAAAATTTCTTAGTAATGAAAACCTACTGCGTCTTTCTTGTTTCTAAATAATTTTCCAGTTCGCACCACAGCTTTTTATTTATATAATTTTAGTAATTTTCAGCACATCAAGCAACTTCGATGTTCTCCGTCAAGCTAGTGCACAAGCAAGCCAAGCGTTTCAAATGCAATGAAGACACCATTCAACATATTCAGGAACTTTAGGCTATACTGCACATGACGGCAGGTGGAACCTGTTCTGCGTGACCAAATAGCGGAATAAATTTGTGACATGATTGCGTCCAACAACCCCTCCCCCTCCAATTTTCTTCGTAAACGTGACACGGAAGATTGCTTAATTATTCAAGTGATTAATACCTGCCGTTCAGTGGTGCTATTCGAGTATTTTTATTCTTGCTTCTTTACCATGATAGCGTTGAATATTTTGTTTCGCAGAGATTGTGGAGTTGGTGTCCTTTACTGTAAAGGAGAAATCAGCGTTCTCCGTTCGCGACAATTTGAGAGAGACACAAGTAAATTTAATGGTAAAAGAGTGTTGAAGGCCCAGCCATTACAAAGCAGTCAGGCGTATAAACTCATCTTCATTCAGCAAAAACATCAACAAAGAGAGCAGTTGCGCAGGTTCGGATGTTACCTCGCCAACGAGTTGTGGTTACTTCACAAGTCTTCACTGATTCGCAGAAGCACGAGTTATGGCGTAGTGAGCACTTCGCAATTTCACTTTAGCTAGGCAATCTAAAATAGTTTGAAACAACCAATGTTACTCAGATAGACATTCACTGCCCGTCCCTGCGGACACCTAAACCATGCCCCTCCGTCATGGTTTAGGTGTCCGCAAGAAAGCGAAGCGCGGCTAACAATTGAGAAGGCGATGCGAAGAGGGAAAGATTAGGCTATCGCGTTCTGCTCTTGAATGTGAACCTCAAATGTCTACCTTTTTTTCTTTTACATTTAACATGGTTTCTGTTCCTCGGCTTCTCTGTATCGTGTATCGTGTAATGCAGGTCTCTTCTTTTCTTTAATGTTATTTTCAGTGTCTTTGACTCTCCCCCTAAATTCGGCTGCATCATCTGTAGGGTGAAAAAAGAAAAGAAAGAGAATCCATGGCTTCTCACAAGCAAGAAGACTCAAAAATAGAATACACAAAACGAACAAATCAGATGATTTAATCTAAAGTTTTACAATCTCCGTGCCTTAGAGAAACGAGCCGTGAACTAAAAAGACAAAGTATACTCTATCAATTATCAGACAAGCTCATGGTAATGTCTGGAAATTACCGTGCAGTTATTCCAAATATTTATGATCAGAACGTGTAGCAATTGTCACCACAAGTGAAAATAGAGATAACGTTTTTTTTCATCATTTTTTTATAGTGTGCATTGTTTCTTAGTTGCTACTTTCCTTTTATTGACGGGCGTTCGTAGATTTTACCGCAAGCCCTATGATGAACAAACTAAACACACTAAAGCAACTTCTAACTTCGCGTCATGCAGGAAGTGTAGCAGTCAATCGGCAAAATTGTCCATCACTCAGAATTAGTCGTATAAGCAACCTATAACGTCACGTTTACTGCTTTTCATGGCTCGTATAAATGAACGCACTTATGACCCAAAGTGTCACTATAGCCAGCTAATTATTTAGAAATTTTCTGTCGTCGGTCGCGCAGTATTCGCCGCATAAAAATGCGTGAATAGCTTTAGCAAGCACGTGTTATCTTATCGCAGATTGAAATTGGGTGTTTGTGTTCAGCATGTGTTCGAACAAATGAAACTATCGCAAATGCAGTTACTGCTTCATTAGATTATTACTTTCATGTGTTTCTAACGTTAAACAAGCCTTGTAACAGAGCAAAAGCAATAATCAATTACAACTATTCTGTTGAAAAAATAAACTCGAATTAAACGCGCGATTGCTCACTCCATTAGCGAAAAATTATTTGAAAGGCAGGGTCAATTTTATAACGTATGTTGCACCACTTTTTTGAACACGTATTTACAGACAGCTTCTTTGAAACATCGTTTTCTATTTGCGTGATTAATTTGTTTCTTGATTAATTATTTCATTTAATAAAGCAATGTAAAACTATAGAAAACCGGAAGTTTATTGGAATTTATTATAAAATTTTCTCAGCGCACACACTACAGCGATCGATGGTACTCACTGACAAAAAAAATTGCCTGCTACTTGACCTTTCTGCTGCATGTTGTCGACATACATTTTTCTCTGCAATGTTTGTAATATTGTTTGGGAAATTTCTCATTATCTTGCGCATGTCCCAGTGAGGTAGCCTTGGTCTATGTAATGTACTGTACATGTACACCTTGTTTTCGCCAATAAACCGAGTCATGATCCAGCGCTTGTTAGTTTTGTTTCCTCACATTCTTGTTTCTTGTGTGCTCGCTGAGAAATACTTCATAAGAAATTAATAAAACAAGTCAACATACTCTAAGCTTTCGGGTATTCCTTTAATTTAATTACTTTTCTTCACGTTATTTCAACTGAACAACACGCATTTATTCATCTGTTCTTGTACTCGTTCGCGCATGTACAAAATGCATGCATAACGTTGTGGCACTATTGCTTCGAAGCCTTAAGCGCAAAGAAACGAAGTGAAACTAGCAATATTATATGGTTCGCATGAACAGGAAGGCCGAGCCTGCCACCAGGGTCCTTTTTTCACGTGCGTGTGCTTCTGACGCTACTTTTGCTCTTTGCAAGCACAACTGTGGTGCTCTGACGCGTCCTTCCAGGAAAACCGAGTCCATCCATCACGTGGTTCAGGAATGGCAAGGTCATCACCAACCTGACACGCACATCAACTCGTGGCAACATACGCAGCGACGCAATCATCTCGAGGCTGGAGCGTTCAGACCTGCTGTCGGTATTCACCTGTCAGGTGTCCAACAACATATCGGCGACCGTTTCTTCATCTGTCAAGCTTGACATGATCTGTGAGTGGCAGAGCTTATTGACCGAGGCTCTTCTTGTACGCTGTTTCTCTCCACTGTAGTTCAACTATATACGTTAGAAGCTGTGAATATTCAGGTAAATTTCTGAATGAGTTGGCGCTATTTTACTTGTGCGCGCACGTGCTTGCTAATTTGTATAGTGACAGTTTTGCCGTACAGCTCAATATTTATTTATCGCGGAATTGTGCTTTATAAGTGTGAGCCCAAAAACGCGCCTATATTTATGTTCCGAAATGTATTGAAAGTGACAAAGCGTTTGTTTGACAGGTTAGTGCTTTTAGTGCCAGGTGAGCGCCCTAAGTTCAGTGCCCTTAGTTTCGATGAACTCTGAAAAATCCCACAGTTCAGAATTCAAGGTTTTTAGAACCTGTAGTAGCGGTGACTTCCTACGGCTTCTGTGAGGCGGCCATGGTGTGCGTAGCTTGTCGTATACTAACAGCAGACGCGAGTCTTGATTAGAGGTGGAGCTGTCGGCGTACCTCGCATCAATTCTCACTCGTGTCAAAGTACCTGTGCCCTGTATCACACTTGCAGTGCGCCCTCTGGATGCTGTGGTGCGCCGTGGCGACACGCCTCTGTCAGCCGGAATCCCGGTAGAGATCGTGTGCGAAGCGATGGGTTCCCGGCCACCAGCAAACATCAGCTGGTGGCGAAACGGCGTCCAACTCAACCAGACCTTCAACCACGTGTCGGCGGACGGCAACGTCACCACCTCGGTTGTCAACTTCACGCCAACGAGCGCCGACAATGGCCTCCAGCTCATGTGCCGGGCCCAAAACCCGCTGCTGCCCGGCGCGGTGGCCGAAGACGTCTGGGTCATGCGCATCTACTGTAAGTGCCCCCTGAGGCCTCACTGCAGACAATCGGCAGTAGATATCCAATGGCCATTCAACGTGCGCGATAACTTGCGAGTGACCTCGATAAAAATTTTGTGATATTTCGAAGGCTTGCTGGGTTCATATTGCCAGGTTGTTTTTCTGAGGTGATGGGAAATACGCAGTAAAAGCTATTGCCTGCATATGCTTCTGTAAGTGATTCTATGTATCATCACGCTGGATTATAGCGAATAATTCTGGACCTTTCCTCATGAGATTTCGTAAGCTGCAATAAACCGCCCCACCATGGTGTTCTAGTTGCTAAGGTACTTACTTGGCTGCTGACCCGCAGGTCGCGGGATCAAATCCTGGCTGCGGCGGCTCCATTTTAAATGTAGGCGAAAATGCTGTAGGTCCGTGTCCCAGGTAGTCGAAATTTCCGGAGGCCTCCACTGTGGCGTCTCTCATAATTATATTGTGGTTTTGGGACATTTAAACCTCACATGTCAATCAATTAAAGCTCCAATAAACCACTGTGGCTCAATGGACAGCGATTGTAACAGAGAGATTAGATAGATAGATAGATAGATAGATAGATAGATAGATAGATAGATAGATAGATAGATAGATAGATAGATAGATAAATACGTGGTATATTTGATGTCTCCAATTTTCCTAACAATTTTGTATATTATACCCGTGTTACTGAATAGCTAGAAACCACATTTTCTTTTCAAACAAAAAATTTTCGAGCCAAAAAATTGAGAAGCATCGCCCGGTGACAATGGCCATTTTACAAAAAGTGCGTTTTTGCTAATTCGCGATGATGTTAAGAGTGTTTAGAGTTATATATCACAAATATTTTTCTGCGTAGCACAAATAAAAGTATTGTAGGAATAGCTCGCTGTATGCTTTCTAATTCTCTACATGTTAAGTATTTTTTTAAATTCCTGAAAAACGCTGTGTTATAGAAACTTGCTTCTTTTCAAGGCGAGATTTCAGCTTTTGTGACGGCCATGGCTTGTTCATATTAACATCACTCATATTTTTTATGTTAATAATTATTCCGTGCATTCAAACTTGTCTATTAATATTTGAAGTAGTAAATTTTGTAGCTCAGAACATCAAAAATAAAAGCTTTTGTCAGTTTGCAAACTTATCATCAAGTCCCATCTCAATTTCGTTCATAAGTATTTAGATTGTTCTCAGAAGACTGCGCTATCAAATTCTGAAAAAAAAAACATGTAGCATTATTGTTAACGGAACAAACTAACGAATTTGCAAACATTGCGTTTGCAGAACGTGTTCGCTACCGCGCAAATGCCATCTCTTGTGCCAAGAAAATAAAATAGCACGCTTTTTCATTTCTGATTTTCAAAATAACAGTAATAACGTATTGTTTGCTTGTGCGAAGTGTTCTCCAAAACAACAAATAGCAGAACCCTTTGATTGAAATGCATTTTGAGTATACGTCGAAACGATTGTGCACAAAACAAAACAAAAATCGGGGACAAGAAGAAGCAACACAAACACGAGCACAACTAACAACACTCATGCGGCTATCCCCGTGTTTTTGCGCGAAACCATTAAAATGAAAGTTTTCCAACTTGGTCGACATGCACTTTTGTTTTGTTTCAGTGTATTTTAGTTCACGACATTATTGCAATGCTGGTCGACGTGCAGCGTGCACCCGTTTCAAGTCTAAGTATTTGTTCTTTGTCTCAGTAAGCGGCCTAATACAAAATCAATGGAGCTTCACAAAATACTGTATAGGTGAGGGTTACCTTCTGACGCTGTTATAAATGAAGAATCCCTGAACAGTGACAATGCCGACCGATGAGCACCACAGCGCAACTTTAAGACCGCAGCCACATATGCTTCGCCCAGCTTTGCCACTTTGCAACACGGAACGCTTCGGCGTAGATTGCGTAGGTTACATGATACATTCTTCTTTGGTCAGCGCAGCCCGACCGTGTTCTCTGTGCGGGCATCGTATATACCGTAAGTGGATCTTGAGGTAGATCGAGTGCCCGTGCTCCGCGCCTGACTGTAAGTGGAGTAGCGTGCATTGTGCGAGAGCGTGCAACGCACGGTGATTTCATACGGTCAGCAATTGAAGTGATTGCGCAATCGCAAGGGCAGCCAAAGAAAACTGATAGAATCACGGGACCTACCCACGTGCTTGAGTGCTTCAGAAACAAAACAAAAATGAGGTAGGGGAAACTCTTCACACGCGTGCAAGGCATCCTGTGATGGTATGTTTGCCAATGCAAACCAGGTGAGATACACACAAAGCATGCTTCGTCCGTTTCCATGACTACTGTTGCCCCTCCGCGGTGGTCTAGTGGCTAAGGTACTCGGCTGCTGACCCGCAGGTCGCGGGATAGAATCCCGGCTGCGGCGGCTGCATTTCCGATGGAGGCGAAAATGTTGTAGGCCCGTGTGCTCAGATTTCGGTGCACTTTAAAGAGCCCCAGGTGGTCGAAATTTTCGGAGCCCTCCACTACGGCGTCTCTCATAATCATATGGTGGTTTAGGGACGTTAAACACCATAAATCAATCAATCAATCAATCATGACTACTGTTATTCAGATTTACGTAATCGTCACGTCTTACGCATGAATAATAGCATATGTTTTAAAAGTGAACGAAGTTGTGCCAGCAAAATTAAACTTATTGACCACCGCTTTCTAGAAGCTCATTTCTTTTCTTGAAGAGACCTTGTGTATTATACCAACCCTTTTGAATACTGGGACTGAACAATATATAATAAAACGCATTAAGAAATTTCACTGCTTGGCATCTAAGATATTGTTTCTGTTCTGGCCGAACAAATGAAAGGAAAGGAGGGCACAAGTGAAGTGGCTGCCTTTGGACTGAATGACAACGAACACAAGCGAACTCGCGAACCACTAAAATGCATTTAATTCAAATGTTTGTTGTTTTATTTTTGAGAACACTTCACATTAGCAGACAATGCGTTATTACTGTTCTTTCTGAAAATCAGGGAAGAAAAGGAGTGCTATAGCGCTATATTCTTGGCACAAGAGATTTCATTTACGTGGTAGCGAGCACGTTCTGAAAATACTGCGTTTGCAAACTTGTAGATTTGTTTCTGTGAAAATGGTGCAAGATATTTTGTCAAAATAAGATGGCGCAGAATGAAAACAATTTAAATAATTTTTAGCAAATATTAGAGGGTTTTTCTAATCTAAGTTTTTAATGTGCCCAACATTTTTATTTTTTATGCTTTGAGCTACAAAATTTATTACTTCAAAAATTACTAGACATATTTGAATGCAGGAAATAATTATTCATATGATATACTATCAGTGTTCGAAATATGAAAAAGCTAGGGCTTTTACAGAAGCAGAAATCATGCACCCAATACGAGTAAGTTTCAACAACACAGCGTTCTTTTGTAATTTAAAAAATACCTAAGTAACCCAGAAATAAAAAAAAGTAGATTCAGCGATTCCTTCATTACTTCTATTCATGCTAAGCAGAGATCTATTTGTTATATATAGCTTGCGTCGCTGTTAGCATCATCGCGAATTGTCGAAAACGCACCCTTTGTAAAATGGTCATTGTCACCCGGCGATGCTTCTCAATGTTTTTGTGGTTCGAGATTTTTTATTCGAAAACAAAATGTGCTTTTGCGCTATTCGGTCATATGGTCATGGTGTACAAGATTACGAGAAAAATCGGAGAAAATAAGTGTACCACGTTTTTGAATCTTTCGTGAACTCGACCATTTTAATTTGCGCAAGCAGTGCAGACCGGTCGGAGATAACAGCCAAACCATTGATGTGTTCATCGTGCTATAAATGGCCACCAGTCAATGAGTGCTGCCTGCGTAGCTGCTCGTAACTTTAGCATAAAGAGGTGATTTGGGCCAATGACTGCGGGTTCTTCGGGAGGAACTTAATGGATTGATTGATATGTGAGGTTCAACGTCCCAAGGAACATAATAGAGGCAGTGTCTTTCAAATCTTTTATGGAGTTTAGGAGCTTGTCCCATTCCGACATCGTTGCGTCAGCCAACTTGCACATATCCAGGATCTGTTCATTATAGCTCGGTAATGATTGTTCCAGCTGCTATGTGCGTTCCCGCAAGCGCGATTGTGTGCGCATCTTGCGCAGAGCAGGATGCCTAAATACAGCAAATATTCACGCCTTGAACTTGGACGGAGTCAGTACTTCGTCTCGTGGTCAGTATACAAAAAGCTCGTCTCATCAACAAGGTAAAAAGAGGACGTGGGTCAGTTTCGGAACGTTGTTCTATTTATTCAAAATGTGTATTCTCTCGTACGTCGACAGCGAATCCTTCCACATCCTTATCGTTTGTGCCGTTGGAAGCAGGGGGTCCTTGAGGCGAGGCTGACCAGACTACACGACAGACGGGGAAGGAGGCATTTGCTCCTTCAACATTGTCTGAAGACGCGTCTTGAGACAAGGTTAAATGAACGGTACGACATTGAAGGTTGGCCGTTAGTTAGGGTGTAGCTCTTCCACCCCTTATAAATGCGTTTACTGCACACTGGTGTGTTAGTCGACCGGAAGCTCAACCACTGCTCAAGTTAGGGGCTTGGAGCCGGAGCGGTGTCCGCGATCAATGCATAGTTGCGACAGACCCATTAGATAGCGCTTGAAGGTATGCCCACTGTAGCGTCACTCTTCCCTACAATATTTTCCTCACCACCACTGACCATGACGTTGCCGCCTCTCCCCCACCCCCTTCGCATTTTAGGAAAAAGCCACCTGTTCAACGACGCTGTTTGTTTCTAAAAAATACTAAAGACATTTGGCTTGTTTTCATTACGCTGACAGATTGTTGCCAAGTTGCGGTTACGCTAACTCCATTGAGAAGAATGATTGACAACGGTCAGTTTTTTTTCGTAGCTTTTTGCTTGCCAAAGCTCTGTTCCTTCTACATGGAACGTGTTGTCTTGTACGGTGCGTCGGACTAATATGTATTATAAACATATAATAGTTTTCAACAAAATAGTGCTTTTC